AGGAAAATAGGTACTCTATTCCTTGAAGAAGTCCTATTCCAATTACATAATTATAACTGTGAACAACAAACAACTTGTATACTAAATTCCTCGTAAAGTTACCAAGATCAATGGAAATAAAGCAGTTCTGCTACAGGGATTGGAGAAAGGAAGTCACATGAAATAGAAAATTTCTACAGACTTCTACAGTCAGAAATTGACCAAACATGCAATCAAGATGCATTAATAATAATGGGTGACAAGAATGCAAAAGTTAGGAATAGAGAAGAAGGATCAGCAGTTGGAAAACATGGACTGGGTGACAGAAATTAAGCCAGAGGTAGAATAATAGAATGTTGCATGATCAATGACTTGTTCATGGAAAATACATTTTATAAGTAACACAAACAGGCTATACACATGGATTTCACCTGATGGTATTCATAGGACTCAGATAGATTACATCTGTGGAAAGACTCATAGGAGAAGCTCAATATCAGCTGTGAAAACTAGGCCAGGTGCCAATTGTGGAACAGAGCACCAACTACTCATATGCAAGTTCAAACTGAAGCTGAGGAAAATTAATCAAGTCCATAGGAACCAAAATTTGACCCTGAGTCTATCCCATGTGAATTTCAAAACCATCTCAGGACCAGGTTTGAGGCATTTGACATTAATGAGCATAGACCGGATGAGCTGTGGGAGGATATCAAGAATATTATCCAGGGAGAACGCAAAAGATCATTATAAAGACAGAGGAAGAAGAAAAGACCAAAGATAGATGTCAGAAGAAACTATTGCACTGGAGCACCGAGAAGCCAAAGCAAAGTAATCAAGATATTAAGGAGTTGAACAGAAGATTCCAGAGGGCAGTGTGGGAAGACAAAGCAAAATATTACAATGAAATGTGCAAGGAGCTGGAGTCAGAAAATCAAAAGAGCCAAACTCGCTTAGCATTTCTTAAGCTGAAGGATTTGAAGAACAAATTCAAACCTCGAGTTACTATACTTAAGGTTGCTTTGGGCAGAATAGTAAATAATCCAGGGAGCATTAAAAGAAGATGGAAAGAGTATAGAGTCATTGTACCAAAAGGAATTGGTGGACACAGAAGACTCATGAATCAACATATGAACAAGAGCCTGTGGTGATGAAGGAGAAAGTTCAAGCTGCTCTAAAAGAATTGGCAAAAAACAAGGCCCCAGGAATTGATGGCATACCAATTGACATATTTCAGCAAACAGATGTTGCCCTAGATGTGCTCACAAAGTTGTGCCCAAAAATCTGGTGGCTACCTGGCCTACTGACTTGAAGAGATCTGTATTTGTTCCCATACCAAAGAAAGGCGATCTGGCAGAGTGTGGAAATTATCGAACAATATCATTGATATCAAATGCAAGCAAGATTCTGCTGAAGATTATCTAAAAATGACTGGAGCAGCACATCAACAGAGAACTGCCTTAAGTGCAGGCTGGATTTAGAAGAGGCCATGACACTAGTGATATTATAGTTAATGTCAGATGGATCTTGGCTGAAAGCAGAGAGTACTAGAGGAACATCTATCTGTGTTTTTCATAGACTATGCAGGCATTTGACTGTGTGGATCACAACAAACTGTGGATGCCTCTGAGAATGGGAATCCCAGAACACTTGATTGTGCTTATGCGAGACTTATACTGGGACCAGGAAACAGTTTTCAGAACATAACAAGGAAACAATGCATGGTTCAAAATTTGGAAGGGTGTGTGTCAAGGCTCTGTCCTAGCTCCATATCTTTTTCAACCTGTAAGCAGAACAGATTATCCTGGAGGCTGGGCTCTAAGAGGAGAAGTGTGGCATCAAGATTGGAGGTAGACTCATCAACAATCTGCATTATGCAGATGACAC